GTATCGTTGCCATGTGCTTGGGCGGTGGCTCCCTAAACGGTACTCCACTTGTGTGTTCGCTTACGCTATTGAGGTAGGTCTCGTGGTGAGCTTGGTGTACGCGTATTTTGTCGATGTAGTTCTGGAACGTGGAGCCACCAGTCTTGCTGATGAAGGTGATGCGTCGGATGAAGATGTGTATCTGTTGCTGCCCGCGTCCAGCTGCTTCCTGGTGTGCTGCAATTGCTTGGGCGGCTTGCGTCGGCAAGTACGTGTCCCGTGTCGCTAGTGTCTGCCGTGCTAACTGACGCCACGGGGTGGCTTGTAGCAATTGCTCTGTGTTGATGTCCTCTCCAGGCGGATCAATGACCGGTATCATTAGTGCTGGTGGCGGTGGGTGTGGCGGCAGGTATACCTATGATGGCGCTCAGTTGATCTTTGCAGTGAACGCAGGTGCAGGTGTGGTTGCCGCTGCTGTTGTACGGTTGGTGCTAGGTATGTTTGCTTGTTGTTAGTCTAGGTGCGCTAGCGGTGGCTTGTACGGACGCTGGTTTGGTGCGGTCGTTATTTGCAGTGGTCGTCTTGTTATTGCGTATCTTTGGCATGAGTTTGCTTGGTATCGTGGTCTGTATTGGTTGCGTGTGTGGTGAGCCGTCATGCTGCGTGGTTGCTGGTGGTGTGAGCACTTAAGGTTGCTTCGTCTGGTGTTCTGCTGCTTGGCTGTGTGGGTTGTAGGCTGTGTTTGTTGGGCTGGCAGGTGTGCTGTCAGCGGTCCATGATGGTGGTAGAGTGGGTGCGAACGGTCTGAGCATGGGGTGGGTTGGTGGTGGTGGTGGTTTGGTTGGTATTTGCTGGGCCCATTGTAACAACTACTGTGCTGGTGATGCTACCTATGTCGTTGGAGCTGTCGCTGTCGTCGCGCTTGGTGGTGAGGTGTGGCCTTGGGTCTTTTGGGTTGCAGATGCGTTGTAGTAGATGTGTTGTGTCGCGTAGTCGCACTGCCCAGTTGTGTTTCATGTCGCGATCATTGTGGCAGGTGTTGAGCCATTGTGCTACTTCTTGTATGGCTGAGAGCTTGGCATTGCTGAGTGGTGCATGTCCTCCTGTGATCAGCGTAGGGATGTGGTCGTATGTCTGGACTACTTGTACCCTGAATATTAGGCTGTCGCGGTATTGTGCTGCAGATGTTTGTAAATCGTTGCCGTATCGTGCGAAGTTTGGTTGGTTGGGCGGTTTGTGCAGTGGTTAGTGTGAGTCCGCTTTGACGGCGTTGTTGAGCTCGATCAGTTGCGTGCAGGTCGAAGTGGGAAATGTACGGGTTGTTAGTGGCGTCGCTTGGGAGTCGGGTCGCAGTTGTGGATGCAGTAAGTACTGCTCGCCGTCATGGTGTGCAAAGATCTCTTTGTTGTATGTGTTGAGGTATTTGTGCCATCCAGATAGTAGTAGGTGGTCGTTTTGGAATATGAGTGTATACGTGTTGGTTGCTTCTTGGTAGTATACTGCATGGTGCCAGATGTCGTTACCTTGGACGTCCTCGTCTGCATCGTCGGCGTAGTGGCAGAAGGCGGTCCAGCCATTGGGCAGGTGCATGTCATGATATATGTTTGGTTTGAGCGGTGATAGGCAAGCTTCGTGGAAGTCGGATGCTTGGCTCATCTTTCCCATGGGTCGTATCTGTCGCTGTTGTTGTCCTGTGATGCTGAAGTGCCGTAACCTGCTCCTCTTCTTCCTCCTCTTTCTACTCCCCCTTATCCTCCCCTTCTTTCTCGTCCTCCTCCCATTTTGGGAACGGCGCGCCCTCCAACCGTGTACCCATCGGTCGTTGAAATAGATAATTTTGGATTCCCATATTCCAATCTACTTTAAGCGCCTTCGTACTTCAATGATCGAGTGGCTTCACCTTTTCCGTCCTCCTTAGGGGGCGGACGGAAACCCAATCTACTCCTCAACGCCTTCAAATTTCATGTTTCTACCTATTTCTTTCGACCGATGGGTTATTGCTGGACGTTGTTTGAAGGAGTGTGGGCGTCGCCATGGCGAGTGCACCATTTTGAAAACAAGCCGCCGCGCATCCGTGCCACTGTTGGACATTTCGGGCTTCTGGATCGCAAGCGGGGAGGAACTCCAGAACGCCCAGCCCGGCCTAGCCATACGTCTGGTGGTGCGGCAGGTAGAAGTTATTCGAGGATGGCGGGGGCTCTTCTTCTCCCTCCTGCCACATCAGGAACAAGAGCCATGCTCCCACAGATGGCCCCAGGCCGGACGCTGGGGACGTACAAGGACCATTTGTCCACACATCTACGGCCTTACGGAGGAGGAGGAGGAGGACGACGACGACGACGAAGAGGAGGAGAAGCGGGAGTGTCGGGGCCAGCGCTTACGAAGGGAAGCCTTCCGGTGGGTTGGCGGTTTCCTGGAGGCGCACCCGTTGCTCTCGAGGTGGGTGCAAGCGCCGGCATCAATACCCCACCCCACGGGGCGGACCGCCCAAGCCTTAGGAGTAGCAGGAGCAGGAGCAGGAGGAGGAGGAGGAGGAGGAGGAGGAGGAGGTGGAGGAGGAGGAGGAGGAGGAGGAGGACGGTAAGGACCCCCTCCCTCCAACTTATGGTGGTGGTGGTGGTGGAAAACAGGTCCATCAGGGAAACAGGAGGACGAGGAGGAGGACGACGTCGTCGCCGTTTCGGTTGTTTCTTGTCGGCACTGCTGGACGCAGCTCGAGGAAGGGATTCGCCCAGACGCACCCCGGGAAGGGATTTGTTGCCCGCCATGAGAAGGGGCCACCATCAACAACTCCTCCTCCTCGTCCTCCTTCCCCGCCTCCTCCGCCTCCTCCTCTCCTACTCCTCCTCCTCCTCCTCCTCCTCCTCCTCCTCCTCCTCCTTCTCCCGCTCCTCCTCCTCATCATCATCATCCTCGTCCTGCTCCTCCTCATCGTCCTCGTCCTCCTTCTCCTCGCAGGAAGACGAGGAGGAGGAGGACGACGACGTCGCTTCGGTTGTGTTTTTCGTCGGCACGTGCTGGACGCAGCTCGACAGACATGGGCCAGGACGGACCCCGGGAAGGGATTTGCCCGCCAGGACTGGGGCCACCATGAACAACTTCTTCCTCCTCCTCCTCCGCCTACGCCTACTCCTCTCCTCCTCCTCCTCCTCCTCCTTCTCGACCTCCTCCCTCTCCTCTTCCTCCTCCTCCTCCTTCTCCTCCTCCTCCTCGTCCTCCTCCCCCTTCTCCTGCTCCTTCTCCTCCTGCTCCACCTCCTCCTCTTCCTCCTCCTCCTCCATTCCTTCCCCTTATGGATAACTTTTCCCCGTCGCACCCCAAGGCCAGTTTTTGGGGCGGGCCGGGCGTGTCGCCTGGGACTTCCTCACCACTTATGACTCTGAAACTTAAAAAGTGACAACAGCTTCACACATGGAGGGCAGGTGGTTTTCAAAGTTAGGCTCTCGCTTTAGCGCCGCGCACATTCGTTTTAAAACCTGGCAGGTTTCACGGATTGAGGGCTGGCCGTTTTCAACATGTAGCTCTCGCTTTAGCGCCGCGCACATTCGTTTTTAAACATTCGCTTTCACGGATTGAGGGCGGGCCGTTTTCAAAATGTCGTTCTCGCTTTAGCGCCGCGCACATTCGTTTTAAACATTTGCAAGGATTTCACGGGTCGAGGGCGCGTGGTTTTCAACATGTGGCTCTCGCCTTAGCGCCGCGCAAATTCGTCTTAAAAATGCGCAAGCGCTTCACAGATTCAGGGCGGGTCGTCTTCAAAATGTGGTTCTCGCATTAGCGCCGCGCACGTTCGTTTTAAACATGTGCAAGAGCTTCACGGATTGAGGGCGGCTCCGTCTTGCCCTAGCGCCGCGTACGTTCGTTTTTCTATGTTGAAAGAAATTGCAAGAGTTTCACGCGAACCCATGATCAACGTACCAAGAATCGTGTTTTCAATGGATTCAGCATTTTGCGGGCGCAACAGTTACATTGATTCGCGGTGTTTGAATTCCCAAAAATCACGTTCTGGCACGATTCTAGAGCGTCAAGACGCAGCAGTCAGGTTGATACGTGGCATTAAAATCCATAGAACAATGTTCTGGCACGTTTCAAGATCTTCAAGCGGTTGTCTTCCAACGAGGCAGTTCCCTCAATGGAAATGAACCGTTGTAGGGGCCTATGAAGAGGGAGCCTGGAGGGAGGGTTGATTCCAAAACCGTTGATGACCCTTGAGTTTACACTCTTCCTCATCCTCCTCCTCCTTCTCCTCCCTCTCCTCCTCCCTCTCCTCCTCCTCCTCCACCTCCTCCTCCTCCTCCTCCTCCTCCTCCTCTTCCTCCTCCTCCTCCTCCTCCTCCTGAGGTCCTGAGGGGAAGGGGTCCTGAGCTTCCTCGCCCCTCCGGCCTCCCGCGGCCCTTGCCTGGGCGGCCAGGCCCCCTGAGCCCGGGGCACCTCGGCGCCGTCCTGCCAGGCGCTCGGGTTGCTGCGCAGTGCTTCGGTCGCGGAGGTGGTCGCCAGCGTCTTCGGGGTCGCGCTGCGAACAAGCCATCGTCACGACTTGGCTGGGTCGCGCCCCTCGCCTCCGACACCACCACTGTGAATGGGCCCATGGGTGCTGCTCCGACGACGAGATATCGTCATCAAGACCCTGGGCGCTTGTGATGCAATCACCAGCGCTAGGGATATGGACAAGTTCTTGCCCACGGAGTTCCATCGATTCAGGAGCTTGTGAAGGTTGAGGTGATGCGAAGTCATGACTCACGACTCCTCCGCATCACTCTCCCTCCCCCACGCTGGCGTCAACTTGGAATGGAGAGCCCTCAGACCGCCTCCCCTTTGTGCCCCTGCCTTCGCGACCCCCTCCTCGCCTTCCTCTGCCTTCGCCTCCCTCTCCTCCTCCAGCCTGCCCTGCCGTTCTGCCCTCCCTTTCTCCATAGCAGCCCCGCTCGCTCGGGCCATTTTGCTCAGGCAGCGCGCGCGGCGCGGCTTCGGGGCCGCCACCGAGCCCAGCTGCGGTGAGCACTGGGGCGCGCCCATCGACCATGGAGGCCGCCACCCAGAACTATTCGGACGAGGGAGCCCAGCGGAAGGTGTTTGCCTCCGTGTGCGCCATTTGGTTCGTGCTGGGCGGCTGCGTTCTGCTCGTTCGAAAGGCCAGGCAGGAGGAGCACACTTCGCAACGACTATCGGTGTCTTCGTATCTCGGCCGGCTGTTCGGATCGTGCGTCAGCTTGGTGTTGTTCCTGGCTGGCACAGTGGAGGGCCCCTCCGCGAAGCAGGTGGCCCAGGAGTTGCAACACAAACGGCTTCTCCGCGGGCAGGCCTCGATCCCATATGGCTGCGCGGCCGTTGCAGTCTTTCTTGGAGTCGGTATGTTCAGGGCCGTCATGGGTATGTCGCGCCTGAACTCCGTCGTGCAGGATATATGTATGCTTGTGGGTTGTTTCGCCGTTCTCTTTCTCTGGGCGTATCCTAGAAGTCTGACGCTAAGAACATTGGATATGTGGTCGTCCTTCTTGATCTTAGTGGTTGTCATCATTGTGTCACCTTTTGCCTCGGAAGGAGTGTTTGCGAACTCCCACTCTCTGTTACCCTTTGGTGCTACTATGGTGGTGTGCTTGTTCAACATGAACGTCCGCTTCAACTTTATATGGCTATTGATGGTATCTTTGTCAATCTGCAGCAGTATATATGTCGACACTCAGAGCACTCTTGGAGGCCGTCTACCAGGACGTGCGCAGAGAATTTCTACGGTGCTGATGGCGACTTTCGTCTTCGCTATCGTTGTCGCGTTCTTTCACAAGTCGGTCTACTTGGTCGTGCAGTACGACATGGAAGCTAACACTTCTAGGAACGAGCTAAAGGCTGCGCGCTCGGTGCTACGGAGCGTCTGCGACGCCGTGGTGGAGCTCGACGGCGATTTCCGGCTGCAGGACGGGTCCTCCGAGTTGGTGGACATGCTCCTGCTGAACCCGCTGCGCCCCCTCCTGGGCGAGGACCTGAGGCAGTTCCTGGCGTCCCAGCAGGACCGCGAGAAGTTCTCCGAGCAGCTGGGCAGGGCCTGGCCTTCGAGCGAGGATACCGTCGGGCTCAGCGCGGCGTTCCACGTCTCCATGAAGGACAGCTCCAGCATAGCCCTCGATGTCGAGGTGTTCGGCGTGCGCTTCGTCAACCGGGAGGGGCAGGCCGCGTACTTCGTCGGCATCCGCGAGTTCACCGACACCGCCCCGATGCTGAGGGACAGCGGGCCGGAGAGGACGCGGCATGGCGGCGGACGGAGCGGCCCGCGGCGCGCCTGCACGGCATGCTTCAGGCAACCGGCTGCGCCTGCAGACTCCACGGCCGCGGCCTCGAGTCAGGCTTCCTCGGACGTGAGCTCCGAGCCCTGCTCGCTGGACGAGAGCTGGGAGGACCCCGGCGCCGAGGAGGAGCCCGTGGCCTGGGTTGACGTCTTGACCCCGAACTACTCCGTGAGGCTCGCATCCCCCGCGTTCGCGAAGTACGTGGAAGCCCGGGGCGAGCTCCTCACAGCCATGCGGCAGTCCCAGCACGACCAGTTCATAGACTGGGCGCAGGAGGCGTACTTTGCTTGCCTGGAGGAGGGCCCGGGCTCCGCCGGCCGGACGTACCACAGGCGGCTCCACTTCAGGTCCCCCGCGCAGCAGAAGGGCGCCCACAGCTCGATGGGGTCGAGGCCGATGCTCTCGGCGCTCCTGCAGCTCGACCTGACGCGGCCGCCCGACGGCCAGGACCGCGGCCGCGGAGTGGTGCGCATCGTCCTCCAGGACATCCTGCTGGGCCGGCGCGTGCCCCCTGGCCCGCGGCGGCCGTCGCGCTGCGGCACCCCCGCGGCCATCGCCCAGGCCGCGAGCGGCCGGCTGGCTCGGGAGGCCGCCCTCGCAGGTGGCCCGGCGCCGCAGGCGGTGAGGCTGGTGCGAGGTGTTGTCAGCCTGTGAGGCGCCAGGGGCCGCCGCCGCAGGGTGCCGCGGGCGCTGGAGCGTGCCGCGCACCCCCGCTCCCCCACGAGGCATGCGTTCGAGATCTGGCCGGCTCACGGCACTTTTGAGCAGGGTGGAGCGCGGTCTGTCGTGCGTGTGGCACGTTTCTCGCCTCGCGGTACCAGGTGGACCGCCCAAAGCTCTGCCCAGTTTGCCGAGGGCAAGAGTTCAGGACTCGCGGTCGGTGTCGCCGTCGACTGTGTCCATTTGAGACAGAAGGCCGCCTGCCCAACAGCGGCCGCTGTTAGTTCGGGACAACATTTTTTATTGAATCCCTGCGCTCATTCCGCCGGCCCTGGAGCCCTCCTGGGGGCCTCTTGAGGACCTCTTGGGGGTCTCTTGGGGCTCCTTGGCGGCGTCTTGGGGGCCCCCAGGGCCTCTTGGGGAGCTTTTGGGGGCCTCTTGGGGCGGGAGGGGGGGTAGTCGATTGCGGCTCCCCCCTCGGAGGCCACGATCCTCGTGAGGGGTGTCGAAAAATGGCCCTCCCCTGGAGTGCTCTGGTGGCTTCGTCTGGGGGGCCCCAGGGGCCGCCCCGCGCGCGCGAACTAGAACTATTGTTAACCAGTTACCGGAGATCTTAGCACGCCTCTGGCCCGTTGGGCCGGCGAATTGAGCATTGACCACAGTTTCCGTACCCATTCTAGGCGCCCAAAATTTGGGTTACGGCGACCTCGCACAGCCGGTAAGTTTCGAGTGCCCATGGCCCCAGATCGTTGTACATTGCTGGCTGTGAGCTCTCCGCATGACGGAGCCCCCTTCCCGTCAGGTGGGAAGCTAGCTGATCGACGCTGTTCGACGCCCCTGCCGCTCTCGCACTCGCCCTCCTGCTCTCTCTCCCTCACCGCCCCTTCTCCTGAGAGCCCAGAGCTGTCGTGCATTTGTATGTCCAGAACCTGCCACTGCTACGACCCTCCAGACGCGCGGGGAGTGAGGAGCTGGTGTCTCGTCATGGCGAGGTGGTAGAAAAAGAGCTCCCAGAGGGCAAGAGTCCGCTCACAGCGGTGCACGGGCTCGATGGCGCCGTGAGTCTCGACGCCTGGCCCAGCTCTGCGGTCAGGCCCTGCTGCTCGCGGAGTTGGCGGAGGCATCTGCTCGCCCCGCTGCCCAGACAGACTCTGCAGACAGATGGCCAGCATGTGTCTGATTCCACCTCGGCTTGTACTGACCGAGCCTCCGTGGCCTGAGTGGGCGCCACAGCCCGAGGCATGAGTGGGCGCCACGGCAGCAAGCAGGTTCTGTCTCTGCTCCTCTTGCCCTCCTGGCTCCCTGCTGTGAGATCATCCGCTTCTCCCCGTCTGCTTGCAAGCGCCTCGGAGATGCCCGGACGATGCGGCCACGAACTTCGGCGAGAGCGCACACAGTGCCGTCGTGGCTGCTCCTTTTTCCGCTGCCGTGGGGGAGGAATCGTCTTATGGTGGGTAGTTTTGGGGGGGTCGATTCAGAACGGAAGTTGATATCCACATTGCCCACTCCATGTCCTGACGCATGGAGGTGCAAGCTACCTTCTAGTATCAGCTCACGTCCGCGCCCGCGTCGCTACATGGCTATTGTGCGTGCTTCGTTCCCCCCCCCTGGCGCATCTGCCAGAACTTTCAAGGGGCATGCTCTTCGGAGCCTGGATTGGGAGCACGACTGGTGTATTTACTCCCCCGCTTCTTCCCTTCCTCCTTGTCCTGTTCACGCCCGCTTCTCGTCCTCCTCGTCCTCCTCCTCATCCTCGTCCTCTGCCGGGCTCTGTGCAGGCCCTCCTGCTCCGATCCTCTGGAGTCGGTACGGCGTCGCCGTGGAGGTCCGGATCTTGATCCTCGGTCCCTTCTCCTTTAGACATGTCCCTCCTGTCCTCCTCGCGCTTGTCTGGCACAGTGGTGGCAAAACGCCCACACCCTGGCAGGCTGCACGCCTGCCTGCTGCGCAGCCATGCCAGTGGCGGACCTGCTCGGAGGGCAGTGGCTCCGACAGCCGCGCTGGGCAGGCAGCTAGTGATCTTTCTCGTAGGGGCGCTGTGTGCCACAACTGTGTCACGACCCTCCTTGATAGTTTGCTCCAGGTCGTTGTCTCAATGCTTCTCCCCTCCCTCCTTCCTCCACTCCAGTTCATCATCCAAGACGACTACGGCGAATCGCCAGCGCCCTCTGCCTTTTTTGGAAATGCCTACGCGCCCAAACGTTGGGCCGAAGTCTGGCCAAGCTATTGGACTGTGTGTCCCCCCGGCCGTTGCGAACCCCTGTGGAGAAACACATGGGGGAGGAAGAGACAGGAGGATGAGATGGAGGAGAAGGAGGACGAGAAGGTGGAGGAGGACAAGAAGGTGATTACGCATTGCCGCTACTAGATTGCTATCGTCACTGATGGCCACAAGTTGTGATACCACCTAGGATGATCTTAAGTCTTAAGCAGAGACGAGCACGCACAGGTAAGCCAAGCCGAGCTGGCACAGCTAGTTTTGACGAGCGCACGTTCATTGCTTTCTCTGTTCTGCATGGCTCTGCTTTCCTGCCTGCGGGGCCCTTCGACGGCAAAGCGGAGGCGCGTTGCCGTCGTTCGATTGCCGGCGCGTCTCATTGCCTCTCTCTGCCTGCCTTGGTGCACTCCCTCCTCTCCCCGTCTCCCTCCGTCGCAGGCCGTTTCTCGCCCCCCCCCCCCGCGACTTTTCCACGGCAAGCCAGGCCGCCCAGAACAGGAGTGGATCTCGGAGATGCACCCCCCAGAGGGGTCTCTGCGGACGCACCCCCTTATCGAGCATGGGCGCCACCCCAACGCATACCCCCGAGTTCGGCTCCAAAATTCGGGTCCAGTCGAAAGCCCACAAAATCGGGGATACGGGTCGACACGTCCCCTGCTGCTCCTCCTTTTTCTCCTCTTCCTCCTCCTCCTCCTCATCCTCCTCCTCCTCCTCGTCCACCTCCACTTCGTCCGTAGCTATTTTGGCCCAAGCTCGCTTTAAATCTTTCCCGCGCAGTTCGCCTTGCGTGCGTCTGTAATCACAGGGGCTCACAGGCGCCCAGGTTTGGTGAGCTCCTGCAGGAGCAAGTGCTCTCAACACGACGAAGCCATGGCGCCCTCCCCGTGGCTCGCGACCAAACCTGACTGGTATTGCAAGTCATGCACGTTTCGTCGTACTGGCGCTCCTCTTCGCAATTGGGGTATGAACGAGAGCTGCTACAAATGCAAGATGCATAAGAGCGTATGTCTCCACAACAACGTTCAGCCAGCCAGCCCTTCCACGAGTAAGCGACTGGCTGAGCGAGGTGGGGCGGCCACGACTACCATTGCCAAGTTGGAACGGCGCTTGCAGCAACTGGAGTCCGAGAGCGCCTCGCTCACATAGTCCTTCGGCATGGCCGACAAGCGCGAGCAGGAGGCCTCGGAGTCAGACGCGCTATTCGAGGAAGTGGACGGCCTCGTCAAACACCTCCAATACCTTGCAGGTGTCAAGGCCACGTGGGCTGCGGCGCATTTGGCAACGGCTCGAGCTCAACTTGAGGCGTTGCGTAAAGCAAGCAACAGGATGAGAACAAGCCTCTTCCAGCGAAGCTTCTGCTCTTTCGCGACGAGCTGAACAGGCCCGTCTCCGCCTTCAGAAGGGCAAGGCAGAGAAACAGGCAGCGGATCGTGCTCTCGTGGAGGTTCAGGACGCTGTTCGGCGCGCTGGTGAGGCGCTGGCAGAGCGTGAGCAGGCCGCCGCTCAATGGGAGGAGCAGTTGCGCAGTCTGTCCAGCCAGCCCATGCAGGCGGCCACAGAGCCGACGCCGCCGCAACCTGTGTTCACCGTGGACCAGTCGAAGCTGCTGGGCGCGCTGGATGGCATGGAGGGCGTCTCCGACGCTCACAAGTTGGCCCCGATCCTTGCCGAGGCCATCAACCAGCGCGCCAAGGAGCTCATGGCAGTGCCGCCCGAGTCAGCGCGCTCGGCCGCGCGCGCCGCGGATGAGGCCGCAGACGAGCCAAGTCACAAACGGGCCCAGGTTGGAGAGGCCCCTGTGGTCTTTGACGCCGGTGACATGGATATCGCCACGCTGCGCCAGGATGTCGGTGACTTCGTGGACGCCAAGACTGAGGACGACGCCGTCAGGCAGAAGGCCATGGCCGTGGCCGCCTAGACTACATAACCCAAACTACTCACGGGCCCCATCGCTGCTGAACCAGTAGCGAACCAAGGGGGCGAGCGCTTCTTCAAGTACCTGTCTAAGTCCAAGGCACGTATGCGTGCCCATCAGCGTCCTTCTTTCCGCGGGTTAGCTTCACCCTCAAGCTGCGTTCTTACCTGCCGCAAGATTTTTGCGACGGCGCGTCGACATGTTCCACCAAGGTGCCGTCTGGTGCTCTCGGTGGTTCGTCGTCTGAGCCGTGGTCTACGCCACCCTCGACCTCTGCCGAGGACGCCGCTGACTCGCTGAGGTGGGCTGCGGATTTCGAGCCGGGCCGAGCTGGTCCTGACAACCTGCGACGAGAACGCCTGCGCCACGTCGCAGGCCTCCATGGAGTGGCCGGTGCTGGACAGAGGCCTCCAGCCAGACATTCTCTCTCTTCGAGAACATCGGCTTCGTGCAGGTGCGCAGCTGAAGAGCGCCCATAGCTGGGCGCGCGCAAGGGGCTTTCGCGTTCTGGCCAAAGGCTGCGCGACCACTGGCGCGACGGCGACTGCCACCTCCAGCGGGGCGGGCGTCGCCAGCCTCAGCCACCTGGGCAGCGCCCCCTTCGAGCCGAAGGGGGGGCGCGCGAAGTCCAGGGCGTTTTTTTTCCAGCGGGCGACGACCGGCAGCGCGCGGTTCCGGTTCGCCTCTTTCTACGGCATCACCAGCGCAGGGCAGTCGGGCAACTTTGACTTCTCGGCCTCGCTGACCCAGGCGCTGCGCGAGCCCCCCCGCCCTTTTCGTCGCGGCAGGAGACTGGGGCGTTGAGTCTGAGTGATTTGGCAGGCAGAGACGCGTTTCTCAGAGCAGGGTTTTGAGCCATTGGCGCGCTGAAATCGTTCACTGCAGCAGGCCAACTTGCAACGATTCCCATCGCGATTATTTTATCCTCAGTGATGTCCTGCTCCCGTTCGCGAGATCCGCGGGCATGTTGGAGGGCGCCCCCGCGGGGCCCCGCAGGCCCGTCGTTGCGCGCTTGGGCCGGCTAGGAGGCGCCAACTACATCCACCGCAGAGTCAAGCGAGAGAAGTGTTTGATGCCCGCCCAGGGGCAACCGGGCAACCGCTTGCAGTAGGAGATGTTTCGCTTTGGCCAGGTTTCTATTTGGAGGCGCATGAATATCTGGGCAGTCTGGCGCGTCGGTGGTTCTCCTCGGCCGAGCTTTACCTGGGCCTTTATTTCGCCATCCCCGTCGCCGAGCGCCCCAGATATTGCGGGCGCCCAGCTGGTCACAGGCTCGAAGGAGCTCCTCTGGCGCGCGAGTGGGGCAAGAACCTCAGGGGAAACAGCCCGCCCACTCAGCAGCGGCCCTCGGTCCGTCGTCACGCTGTGCAGCGGTTGCGAGCTGAGGGCGAAGATTCTGAACCCCAGCGAGCCCAGCAGGCCAGTGCAGATCGAACGCTCACGGATTATTCGGGGGCGCGGGACGGTCTGGACTGGGCGGGGGAGGGCCGCGTCTTGGCGAACTCGTTCTCGGACTTTTTAGAGGGCTTCGAGGGCCCAGCCAGGGGGCCTCGAGTCTGCAATTGTCTGCAGGGTCAGGCGCCGTAGCACGCGGCTGCCGACGCACCCGCCGCCAAGCAAAGCTGGGGAGATTACTCGGAGCTGGCTTTCGCCAGCGGGGCCAGCCTGGCCCGCCGTGTTTCGAAGGGGCCCAGTGGGGCCTCGGTTGCCGGCCTGTCGCAGGGGCTTCTTGCGGTGGGGCGCAAAGCCCTTGGGGCTGTGTTGGCTGGATCGTCCAGGGCGGATCTGACGAGGTCCACCCGCTCGACTGGGGTGTCTCTTCTGCTGAGCCTCTGCCTCGGTTCGCGGACGGCGACGCGAAGGCAGTGCTCAGCACTTTCACAGGCTGGACGGCGCTCGAGTGGGATTTCGCCCGTCCTCGGCGGGCGGGCGCATTGCCCTCGAGCCTCGTCCCCACCCTTGCCCATCCTTCCCTTGTCCTGGGAAAGAAGTCCCGAGCTCGCCGACGTCTGGTTGCCCTTAATTGTTGTCCTGCCTCAGGTCACTGGCGGGGTCCGTCCGATCGGTCTCCTCCCGTTCTTTGCTAGAGCGCGGTCACGGCTCAGACACAAGGTGATTGCCCGCTGACAGCTTCCCCTGGGGGGCTCGCCGGAGACTTCGCGCGGCGTAGCCCCTGAATTTAATTTTGCCAGCGCTGGCGCGTTCATAGGTTTGCGCACGTTTTACGACATGGTTTCGCGCAATGAACTCTTATGTGCCGCCAGGGGCGCGGATTTCCCCCTGGAGGCCCCGAGGCCCCCCGCGCCCTGCATAGGGGGCGCAGGAGGGCCTCGCACCAGCACTCGACCTCGGACGTGATCTTCGTCAACGGGACCATAGCCGCAGGGTGCGCATGTGCCACAGGGCTCGCAAAGCTCACGACGGTGACGGATCTTCGACGCGCAGGGGTCAGCTGCCGCTCGCTCCGCATCAAAGACCTGATCGACGACGTGAGCCTACATAGCGTGGGAGGCCCTGAGGTGGTCTCGAGGGGGCTGCCTTGGGCTTTCAAGGCGGTCGCGGGCTTGCTGCAGGCCCGATTCCTCTGCGACGACGCGGGGGTCTTCGGTGCGATCGAGGGCGAGGTTGCCGATTTATGGCTTGTTGGGAGACCCTTTCCTGGGCGAGGCCAGTTCCATCGAGAACAAGGGGGTGATGCCTGCGACGGTCGGCGCACGAGGATAGGTGCGCAGTTGACGCGGACCAGGGACGCGATGGCCAAGTGGCACAGGATGTTGGCCTTGCAGGGCCTGGGGAAGAAGCGCTCCGCCGTCCATCGCGCAGGGGCACTAGCAAAGGCCCTGTGGGGCTGCCCCATCGCGGGCATTCCCAGTAGCAGGATCCAGCTGCTCGGGATGTCGTTTCCCGATGCGGGGTCTCGGTTCAAGCCTGGGTCTTCGGCTGGTCTTTCACTCATGCGTGGTGAAAGTGGGTGGCAGAATGACCCGCTTATGATCGCTATTGCTGCTGCCGTGCGCACTTACCTGGTTGAACTGGGCTCGGGGGCGATCAACACCTCGATGGTCGCATCTCTGATCGTCGGGGCCATGGCGCTTCTGGACGACCCCCAGGCTTGGTTGAATTGTAAGAACCCAATTGATGCCCTCATGATTGGCCTGTATCGTATTTGTTGGAAGGTGATCGGTCCACCCACGATTGCAGATGATGAAGGTGCGAATTAGGGCCTCAGTTGCTACCCGGCAAGTCGGGCGGCGCATGTGGTCAAGTTTGGGGTGCGCAGACAGATCGACCGAGGTGCTCCTGCGCTCCTACAGGGGTCAGGCTCGACGAGGGCAGGCCCCATCGCCTGG